TAATCGCGAAATAAGGCAAAAAAAGCGCCAAATGTCTAATTTAAACGCGAAAAAGCAGCAGTGGCTCTGTCTCAACTGACAGTTCAGTTGTAAACAAAGAAATTGTAAATAAACAAACAAAATAAAATTTCTAGTGATTGTGTTCAGATTATTTGTGTTCTTAAAAAAGAAAAAAAAATGAATATTTCTGTGGCCCTATTTTTTATGGATGATGAGAAGAAAGGTACAAAATGTGCCACGGAGGCATTTAAGAGATGCTTCGAATTTATTTGAAGTACCTAACAACCAGTAAATATGATTGTATTTTTACATTTTTGAAATAATAAAAAATGATTTTTTCTAGGATTGTGGCCAATTTTCGTGTGTCGAAGGAAGTTTTCGGGCTCTTTTGGATATGATGGAAGATGTGGGTGCCGGTTGCAGAACTACCCAAATCCGCCCCGATTTAAAACTTCTTCTGCTGCTTCCAAAAATTGGCACTCCTCTGGCGAACACAGGATTCTCCTCCATATACTCAACTAGTGCCCGCAGCTGTGTAGTTGATGATTTTTTCGTGCTGGAATTGAGAAAATAAAAATATATATATTTGTTCTTCACATATTAAATTGCATTTATTATTTTTACTTACATTTTTGTTTCCATTTTCAATCAAGCAATGTTTATTTTAAAACAATTTTCCTTAATCGTTATTATACGATAGCAAACACACAAGTGACTGATTTTGACATTTGTGTTCGCATGCGTACGAAAGAAAAAAGATAGTGGAACGCAAAATTACACTGAAATGCTTACGTTTTCGTTCGCTTTGATTTTCGTGCAAATTTTCGTTCTGATGGATTTTAGTGGAACGGAAATCAGCTGTTTGTCGTGTAAAAGTTGTGCGAACGTGTTCTTTCGATATCGTGGAACTGGCTGTATGTCTTTGATACAGTATAGCATGTTCAACATTCATTTGGCATTGCCAAAGCAAAGTCAACCAAAGACATTACATTGTTGCTATGCTTCGCTAGATGGCGTTCGAAGTATTAAAATAATGTTATACTAACATGTCGTTACACTAAAGTGTAAAACACCTCTGTAGGAAATGTCATAGGTGAATAATTATTGAATAACAATTTTAATGGAGATGGAAAGACTGCAACCAACTTCAGATTGCTTTCATTTCTAAGCCACTCGACCCACAGCTGTTAAAATTATTCCAGTGACAGCTCATTATATTGTTTACAAGCGTACAGAAGCATTTTAGTGAGAATTTTTCAGAAAAAAAGTATTCGTTATGGAATTCAAGCGTGATAGTGTGATTTCTTTACATTTTGGCAGGAAAACTACCAGCATTTAAATGTGAATAAATCTTTTGTGTCTCGTACCATTGCTCGTTACCGTGATACTGCTATCGTAGCACGACGTCAAGCAAGTGGACGAAAGAAAACAGCAACATCAATAGAAATGGTTCGAAAAGTAAATAGCGACTTGATCGAAACCCGCGTCGCAGTGGCCGAAAAATGGCTCGTAAGCTGAACATATCACAATATTCCATTCGGCAAATATTGAAAAATGAGCTCGGGGTAAAGCCATTGAAATTCCAAAAAGTGCAAGAACTTAAACCGCAACAGAAAGAAAATAGACAAAAAAGAGCTAAAGAGTTGCATCGCTTAATCGAAGATGGTGAACTGCCGAACTACCGGTTTTCTCCGATGAGAAAACATTCGTTGTCCAGCAGTTTGTAAACAAACAAAATGATCGGGTTTACTTGCCAAAGAGGTCAGCTGAAAATGTGCAACTTCCGTTGGCCACCAGAACTCAAGCGCCGGCCATGGTGATGGTGTGGACCGCCATAACAGTCTATGGTCGCTCTCCGCTCGTATTAATCGACCGTGGCATCAGAATAAATGCCGAATATTTTGGCCGCAGAACTTGGACATTCCAACAGGACTCAACACCATCGCTCTCAGCACGCGCCACCAAAGAATAGTTACAAAATGATGTTCCTCGCTTCATTTCCAGCGGACAATGACTACCAAAATCTCCGGATACCAATCCGTTGGACTGTTTTGTCTGGAGTATTTTGAAAAGCAAGGTTGGCAAGCAAGCGCTTCGCCGGAAATGGTCCAAAATACCGCAGAGCAACATTCGGGCAGCGTGTGACGGTTTCATTGGTCATAAATTGTGCTAAAGATGACAAATTCGAACAAATCTAAACTTATTCTAAAATTTTATGCTATTTATACCCTCAGCCATATGGCTACAGAGGGTATATATCATTTGATACGGTCAAAACGTGTCTAGTCGAAATAATGGTTTTAGACCCTAGGTCTCATTGGACCAAATCCGTTTCAGAACATTTGGAGTCGATCTACCGATGTCCGTCCGTCCGTCCGTCTGTCTGTCTGGCTGGCCGGTGCGCACGATAACTCTCGAATTGAGTATCCGATTTCATTCAAACTTGGTACATCTTAATATTTTTGTCAAACTTAGATCGAGTTCGGAGATGAGCAATATCGGCCCACTCCTTCTGGTACCTCCCACACAAAATGTCAAAAATTTCAAAGAAAATAATTTATTGCACAGAAAGAGAAAGGATATTCCGATTTTGCTCGAACTTTGCGAATCCTCATATTTTCATTAGTGCTAGGTCATGTGCGAAAATGGACAATATTGGTCCACTCCATCAGGGACCTTCCCCACAAAGGGTCAAAATTGTGAATTATTAAAGCTCTTATAAAATGTGATGTAAGAGTCCGATAGTCTTCAAATTCCACACATCCCAATAATTTTATTAGCCCAAGGTCTGGTGTTAAGAGGCAATACATCGGTCCACTTCTTTTGGTACCTCCCCCACAATAGGTCAAAATTTTCAAAAAAAAATATATATATAAAATATATTTTTTGCACAGAAAGAGAAACGATTGGCCGATTTTGCTCTATCTTTGCAAATCGTAATATTTGCGTCAGTGCTAGGTCGGGTGCGAACATGGACAGTATCGGTCCACTCCATCAAGTACCTCCCCCACAAAGGGTCAACATTTTGAATAATTATAACTCTTAAATAATGTGATGTAAGGATCCGAACGTCTTCAAATTTCACACATTTCAATATTTTTATAAACCCAAGATCTGGTATTAACATGGGATGTATCGGTCCACTCCTTCTGGTACCTCCCCCACAAAGTGTCGAAATTATGAATACCCATGAAGCACATAAAACGCCAAATTAACATCCGTTTCCATTTAGACTTGGCACATCTCAATATTTCTATCAACACAAGATCTGTTATAAAAGTGGTATAGATTGAACCATTTCTTCTCCCCCATACATAGGTTTCAAGATTTTGAAAAACAAACACTCAAATAAAGCGAAATAAATATCCAACTCTCTTCAAATTTCACACACACATATTTTTGCTAACACAAGATCTGTTGTGAAGTTGATATATATCTGCCAACCCCTTCTGGGGTCACAATTTTCAATAATTATATATGTTATAACTTTCGAAACAATTTAGCAATACTTTACTACTTGCTATGTCAAATATTTCTCTCAATAAGAAGCCCGATATGAAAATGAAATTTATCGGTATTTATGATTTCGCATAAAATTGGAAATAAATATCCTTTCTTGTAATTTTGCCCAATATTTCGCTCAATATTTTTTTTATTTGTATCAGATGAAGTATAAAAGTGGAATATTTCGGTAGACACTATCTTGTAAATAACGCACATTTTAACACTTTCTAAAAATTATTACATATCTCATATAAAGTGAAGGAGTAAGTCGATATAATCCATACCAGGAACGTCGGAATATTTATATTATATTTTTGGGTCCGACACGAAATGGACAGTATTGGCCTATTCCTTCGGAACCTGCTCCATAGAGGGTCAAACGTTTGAATAATTGTAACACTAGTCAAATTATATTTAAATAATCGAACACAGGTTGAGGGTATATATCTGTCGGCAATACCGACTAATACTTTTTAACTTGTTTTTGCTTTCATTCAATAAAACTAAAAAAAAAGAAAAAACTATGGCGTTTGGCTTTGTTGCAGTTTTTTATCTCGCCCACAAAGGATTGTGAAACAGGTCAGCGATTCTTTACAACTTGCTATATCTAAATATTTCGCTCCACCAGAAACTTGAGATGGAAATTTGGATAAAAATGTTCGATTTTCTTGTAATTTTGGCCATACCAATATTTTTATCTGTATTAGATGAAGTATGAAAATGGAATACTTCGGTCGACTATGTCTGGTATCTCACGCACATTTTAACATTTTCTAAAAATTATCACATGTCTCATATAAAGTGAAGGAAATCCAAACCTGGCACGTCGCAATATTTATATCAATTTATTTTGGGCCCATTGGGCCAATATTGGCCCATTCCTTTGGAACCTACTCCATAGAGGGTCAACAATTTGAATAATAATAACAGAAGTCAAAAAATATTTAAATAATCAGATATTGATTGAGGGTATACATCTGTCGGCAAAACCGACTGATACTTTTTAACTTGTTGCAAATAAGATTAATAGGCAACACTTATTGCCCCCAAGGAAAATTTCTTATTTATAAAGCATATCTTTAGGAGGCGGATTGATACGGTAAAAATATGACAAATACACATAGGTTTAATAGACACATTTTATTCGATCAAATTCTTTAATGACATTTGGATTTATTTTGATTTTCTGGTCCTTGTTTTTAATACCCCATGGAGGTTTCGTAAAGGAATGCAAACTCAAATGAGAGTGTCTATTTAGGTGCGGTGTTGTGATTATTTTACTTCGATCTCGTGCCCACACGCATACACACACTCTGTTTTCAAAAAGCACAAGAGAGCAATGTGACTGAGATATTTTGTGTGAGCGAAAAGAGTTGCCAATGCATGGCAATAATTGACAAAAAGAGCAAGAGAGCGAGAGAGAGAGAGCTCGTATGCAACAAGTACCAAACAAAACCGACTCTTGAATTGAAATTGATGGTGAAACATTTCAAGATTCTGTTTTCCAATTTCAGTTGAGAGATTGTGTTTTAAATCGAGCGGACGTGTGTACGGAAAATAAAATAGCTTCAAATCGTGTTCAAAGTAAACGAAGAAGCAAAACAAAAAAAAAAAGTATATAACCTAGCATTTGCAACAACAAAATAAGCATATTGCCCGAAAAGAAACGACTCAGTCCCAAAGCTAACCAAGATTCTAATTTTGGTGATTTTTGTTTTGGAGCATGAGATAATGTACGAGTAATAGATAATTAATTGCTTGAGATTTATGTTTATGGGAAAAGTGAATTTATAAAAAAATTAAAAATTATTTGCCTGAATGCTGTGTGCGAGCGTGTTTTTTTTTAATTTTGCCAATTTAAGCTTAGGAATGTTGTATGGTTAAGTTTGCATGATTTTTTTTTTTTTTTTTTGAAATTTGCTAAACCAGTTTGTATTTTGTTGCGATGATGTGATGTGCCAGAGTATTTGTGTTAAAATAAAACAAAAAACAAGAACAAGAAAAACAAGCAATAACCGCAACCAGAGAACCAACCAACTCCAAACCACTCACACACATATGTAAACAATTTTTAGCTGGCTGGCTGGCTGCCGTGTTGTTTGTGGTACAGTGGGTCGTTGGCTGCTCCACGGACGAAGACCCATCGATGAGGAGACAAAATTCCAACAATGCCTGCTGGTTTTCTAGCCAACTTCCAAATAGAAAAATCAAGCCAACACTAGTCACAGGAAAAAAAAAGAACACGACAAAATAATAAAAACAAAACAATCACACATAACCTACAACAATGGTGGGGAGTCAAATCAACAACCAAGCCAGCCGCCTCAACTTATTTTGTGTCTTTCCCTCTCTCTCGAGAGAGGGAGAAAAACAGAGCTGAGCACATTGCGCAGAGTTTCTGTTTTCATTTGTGGCCCATGCTGGTGTTAGCTGCTCTCAAGCTGTAAGGGGCCGCAAAAATTCAAAAACAAAACAAAAAAAAAAAAAAAAAAAAAATATATATAGCCGCTGGTGTTGCTCACAGCTCTCCAAGATCTGTTTTGCCATTCATTTCTATCCGTCGTGGCAATCGGTTAAAATCAGCGCGTAGCGAGGCTTGACATTAACAATTGTTAAAATTCTCAAAAAAAAAAGAAAAAAAAAACATAAATGCAAAACGCAAAAAAGAAACAATGTTAATAAAAAATTAAAACCAGTTTTAAACAATAATTAACGAAAATTCACTTTATGCTGTCTAAAGTTAGTAAAATATAATTCAATTTAAAAAATGCTGTTTTACTATCAAAGTTGATTAAATCAATGTGTAAAAAAAGAAAATAAAAAAAAAATAGTAATAATAATAAAATAAATAATAATATAATAGTATAAAATGCAAAATTAAAATACTATATTCATATGAAATGAAAGTGATGTTTGTTACAACGCCTATAACTCACGAACGGCTCGACTGATTTTGACAATCTGCAGCAATTCGGAATGGTCTCCTGGCAAAGATACAAGGATAAGACTAAAAAACGCATAAGATTATGCCAATAAAAATAAGAATATTTTTTTTTGTTTTTTTTTTGTGCTATATGTATTGTTTGTCTGTTTTTATACACTCTACCATACATAGTACGGAGGGTATATTAAGTTTGTCATTCCGTTTGCAACACCTTGAAATAAACATTTTAGAAGCCATATATTTATACGCTTAGCCATAGGGCTACAGAGGGTATATATCGTTTGATACGGCCAAAACATGGAACCTCGTCGAAATAACGGTTTTAGTCCCTAGGTCTCTTTGGAGCAAATCCGTTTCAGGACATTTGGGGTCGATCTAGCGATGTCCGTGCGTCCGTCCGTCCGTCTATCTGCTGGCTGGTGCGCACGATAACTCTCGAGGGAGTATCTGATTCGATTAAAACTTGGTACACAGTAATATTATTGTCAAACTTAGATTAAGTTCGGAGATGGGCAATATCGGTCCGTTCCTTATGGTACATACCATACAAAAGGTCGAAATTTTCAAAAAATATATATTTTACTGCACAGAAAAATAAAAGATAATCCGATTATGCTCCAACTTTGCAAATCTCAATATGTGCATCAGGTTAGACGCGAAAATGGAAAATTTGGTCCACTTCATCTACAGGGTGAGATAAAAAAACTGCAACAAAGTCAAACTCCATAATTTTTACATTTTTTTTAAATTTCATTGAATGAGAGCAAAAAATTTCGGAAATATCATCAAATTTTAGAATAAGTTTAGATTAGTTCGAATTGGTCACCTTTGGCACGAATTATGGCTTACAATGCGTGCTGAGTCCTATTGGAATGTCCAAGCTCTGCGGCCAAAATGTTTGCGTGCCCAAGACTTTAATACACCCTCCAGAATATTTTCGCGATAATCTTTAGCATTTATTCTGATGTCACGATCGATTAATACGAGCGGAGAGCGACCATCGGCTGTTATGGCGGCCCAACCATCACCATGTCCGGCGCTTGAGTTCTGGTGGCACATTTTCAGGCAAATAAACACGATCATTTTGTTTGTTTACAAACTGCTGGACAATGTTTTCTCATCGGAGAAAACCAAATTCGGCAGTTCACCACTTTCGGCCAAGCGAAGCCACTCTTTAGCTCTTTTGAGTCTATTTTCTTTCTGTTGCGGTGTAAGTTCTTGTACTTTTTGGAATTTTAATGGTTTTACCCCGAGCTCATTTTTCAATATTTGTCGAATGGAAAATTGCGATATGTTCAGCTCACGAGCCATTTTGTCGGCCACTGCGACGCGGGTTTCGTTTAAGTCGCTTCTTTACGTTTCGAATTATTTCTGCTGATGTTACTGTTCTCTTCCGTCCACTTCCTTGATGTCGGGCTACGCTACCAGTATCACGTAGCAGTAACGAGCGATGGTACGAGACACAAAAGATTTATTCACATTTAAATGCTGGAGTGTTCTAACGATATCCACTTGTGCTTTTCCAGCGAAATCACGCTTGAATTCCATCACGAATAACTTTTTTTCTGTAAAATTCTCACCAAAATGCTTTTGTACGACTGGAAACAATATAATGAGCTATCACTGGAATAATTTTAGCATCTGTCGAACGAGTGGCTTAGAAATGACCGCAGTCTGCAGTTGGTTGCTGTTTTTCATCTCACCCTGTAGTACCTACCCCACAAAGGGTCAACCTTTTGAATATCCATGAAGATCATAAAACATGAAATAAACATCCGATTCCATTCACATCTCAATATTTCTATCAACACAATATCTTCTATAAAGATGGTAGAGATCAGGTCATTCATTCTGGTACCTCCCCCACAAAAGGGGGTAAATCTATTATAAAATCTTAAAAAAAAAACATCGGGTTCTCTTCATAATTCATACATACTACTATTTCTACTAACTCAAGATCTGCTGGGAAGATGATATGTTTCGGTCCACTCATTCTAATTTTGTAAAATATTTTATACCCTCCACCATTCTATGAGGGGTATATTAATTTTGTAACTCTCGACACATGTGTATTTTGCCAGTAGTCAAGGTTATGTTCGTAAATTGGTCATGTCAACCCTCGTTTGCATGTAGCCTCCAAGTCAAATTTTGTATTTAAAGTTCGTAATGGGTACTACAGCCTATGACAGAAAATCACGTATGCAAGTCCACCTCTTCGTATTCGGTATTTTGATGAATTTAGCAGCATTATTCACCGGATTTGTTAAAATATCGTATTGGAGATTTGTAATGGGTGTCGAATATTCCCTATTTTCGGTACTTTGATGATTTTAGCTATATTTGTCAATGGAATTGTCTAAAAATCTATACTAGAAGCTTTTTCTAAGAACTTTTCTCCCCGGAAGAGAAATGTCTATATAGGTCCACGATATCGTATAGCCCCCATATAACGATATCTCCCGAGATTTTGTGTTTTGATGATTTTAATGGCATTTTTCACAGGAATTGTTTCAAATTTCGAAGTTGAAGTTCGTAATGGGTATTACAGCCTATGACAATTGTCTATGCAGGTCCACGTCTTCGTAAAGCCCCCATATAAAGGGTTTCATTTGAGTGGTATTTTTGTATGGAGTTTTTTTTTTGTTTTTGTTTTTTTAATGTTCGGCCAGGCCGAATTTAGCTGCTTTTTTATTTTATTTTTTTGCTTTTAAAGGGATACATATTTTCAAAAAAGTACCACCAAGTTAAATAGAATCAGTTGTTATCGCCGACAGCTGCATACCATGAGCCAATATTCACTATTGCATTATGATTATTCAAACTGTTGACCCTTCAGGGGAATGGGCCAATATTATAAGCATTGAAAATTGTTACCCTTTTTAGGAGAGATACCAGAAGATGACATATCTTGTGTGGTGAGAGAGTGTGGATGCTCCAAATTTAAAGAAAATCAGATGCTTATGTCGCGTTTTATGAATGTTAGAATTAAAAGGATAGATATAATCAAAATTTTGACCCTTTGTGGGGGAGGTACCAGAAGGAGTAGTCCGATATCTACCATCTTCACACCAGACCTTGTTTAAGTAAAAATATTGGGATGTGTGAGATTTTAAAAGAATCAGCTATTTAAAATTTTTACCCGCTATGGGAAGGTACCAGAAGGAGCTGCCCGATGTTGTTTATCTTCATAACAGATCTTGTGTCGATAGAAGTATTGGTATATGCCGAGTTTGAAAGTAATTGAATGCTGATTTTGCGTTTTATGATTATTTCAAATTTTGACCCGTTGTTGGGGAGGCACTAGAAGGAGTGGTCCGTTCAATCCGTTCTTAATATCAGACATTGTGTTAGTGGAAATACTGAAATGTGGGGAATGTGAAGATAATAGGACTCTTGATTCACATTTTATAAAAGTAACAAGTTAAAAAGCAGTAAGTTCGGCCGGGCCGAACTATGAATACCCTCCACCATTTGGAACGAATTTGGAAATTTTCATAGGCTGTAGCATCCATTACTAAGTTCAAATACGACATCTCAAACAATTTCGGTGGGTATTGTACCTAAACACGTCAAAATATTGAATTTAGGGAGGTACTGATATATGGGGCCTAAACAAAGACCTGGACCTGCATAGAAAATTTTCTGTCACAGACTGTAGATCCCATTACGAATTCTAAATACGTAATTTGATACAATTCTGGTGAAAAATGTCGCTAAAATCATCGAAATACCGAATATCGGGAGGTACCGTTATATGGGGGCTATATGAAGACGTGGACCTGCACAGACAATTTTCTGTCTTAGGCTGTAGTATTCCTTTCGAACTTCAAATACCAAATTTGAAACGATTCCGGTGAATACTGTAGATAAAATCATAAAAATACAGAATATCGGGAGGTACCGTTATATGGGGGCTATACGAAGACGTGGACCTACATGGCCCATTTACGAACTTAACCTGCCTACTGAAAAAATAAACATGTATGCTAAAGTTTAGCCTTCTATCTCTATTCGTTCGAAAGATAGCGTGATTACAACAGACAGACAGACGGACAGACAGACAGACGGACATCGCTAAATCGACTTAAAATTTTACGCTGAGCAAGAATATATATATTTTGTTGGGTCTGACATGAGTATTTCGAGGAGTTACAAACGGAATGACGAAGTTAATATACCCTCCATAGTATGGTGGAGGGTATAAAAACTATTCAAAATGTTGACCCTTTGTGAGGGAGTTACCAGAAGGAGTAGTCCGATATCTACCATCTTAAGTAGATACAGTGGGATGCGTCAGATTTTAAAAGAAACGGATGTTTATTTCGCGTTTTATGAGCTTCATGGCCATTCAAAATTTTGACCCGGGTGGTACTTGTTGAGCAGGTACTTTGTGGGATAGGTACTTGTTGGAGTGGACCGATATTGTCTATTTTTACACCTGACCTAGCACTGATACAAATACTAGGATTTGCAAAGTTGAAGCAAAATCGGATGATCCGTTCTCTTTCGGTGCAGTAAAATATTTTCTTTTTTGCCCTATTGCCAATCTCCGAACTCGATCTAAGTTTTATAATAATATTACGATGCACCAAGTTTGGATCAAATCGGATACTCCCTTCGAGAGTTAAAGTGCGCACAAGCCAGACAGACGGACGGACGGACATGGCCAAATCGATGTCCTGAGACGGATTTGGTCCAAAGAGACCCAGGGTCTAAAGCCGTTATTTCGAGGAGGCACGTTTTGGACGTATCAAATGATATATATCCTCTGTAGCCATATGTCTGAGGGTATTAGAATGGAAGAGAAACCAATATTCGATCTCGATTCTTTTATTTTTAACGGTGTTCTTTGTCTTATGGTGGAGGTACAAACGACCGAAATTTACGCGTTGTTATACCCTCCACCATACTATGAAGGGTATATTAATTTTGTCATTCCGTTTGTAACTCCTCGAAATACTCATGTCAGACCCAACAAAGTATATATATTCTTGATCAGCGTAAAATTCTAAGACGATTTAGCCATGTCCGTCTGTCTGTCTGTGTGTCTGTCTGTCTGTCCGTCTGTCTGTCTGTCTGTTGTAATCACGCTATCTTTCCAACAAATTGAGATAGAAGGCTAAAATTTTGCACACATGTATTTTTTCCCAGTAGGAAGGTTAAGTTCGTAAATGGGCCATGTAGGTCCAAGTTATCATATAGCCCCCATATAACGGTACCTCCCGATATTCGGTATTTTGATGATTTTAGCGACATTATTCACCGGAATTATTTCAAATTTGGCATTTGAAGTTTGCAATGGATGCTACAGCCTAAGACAGAAAATTATCTGTGCAGGTCCACGTCTTCCTGTAGCCCCCATATAACGGTACCCCCCGATATTCGGTTTTTAATGATTTTAGCGACATTGTTTACCGGAATCGTTTCAAATTTGGTATTTGAAGTTCGTAATGGTTACTACAGCCTAAGACAGAAAATAATCTGTGTAGGTCCACGTCTTCGTATAGCCCCTATATAACGGTACCCCCCGATTTTCGGTATTTTGATGATTTGAGCGACATTATTTACCGGGATTGTTTCAAATTTCGCATGTGAAGTTCGTAATGGATACTTCATGCCATGCCAGAAAATTGTCTGTGCAGGTCCACGTCTTCGTATAGCCCCCATATAACGGTACCCCCTATATTCGGTGTTTTGATGATTTTAGCTACAATATAAACAGATTTTTCTTCAAGTTTCGCATTTAAATATTGTAATAACTTATGACAAAAGTTGCCTATGCAGGTCCACGTCGTCGTATAGGCATTCGGTATTTTTAAGATTTTAACAGAATTTTTAACGGATTTTTTTTTTGGAAATTGTCAAATTTGTACCAAATGGTGGAGGGTATTAAAAGTTGGGCCCGGCCGAACTCACAGCTTTTTTACTTGTTACTTCTTCAAATTGTGCCACTGTATTTATTTTATATAATTGACGAAAATAAAAGTATTGTGCACATGCACAATAAAATAATAATAAAAATATCTGTACAATGCAAAAATGTAAACAAAATTATATGAAAAAGTAAACCGACAAAACAAAATTACACAGCCAGTTATTTTTTATGAACTACGTCATCATAAAAATATATTGCTGAGGTGTGTTTAATTTGTTGTTGTTGTTGTTGTTTTTGTAATTTGTATGAAAACAAGTTTTAGTTTCTCCCGGCGACTGGTGTGTTTTGCTCTTGCTGTAAATTAAGGTCAAACTGAGCTTTTTCTTCTTCTTTTTTTCTGTTCGCTTCAAACAAGATTGAACTGTTTTCACTTCTCCCCGTGGAAAATGGAATCTCACAGAATTCGAAAAAAATATTAACATATTCAAATAAATCAATGTTGTGGTGCTCTCTTGTGGTTCATGTGTTTAAACTTCTCTCTTACTCTCTTTTCTTGCAGCTTCGAACAACATAACAACATTGTAAACACTGGATGGAGAGAAGTATCTGGTAATGATCGAACCGAAGCAACACCGGCCATAAAACTTACAAACTAAAATCAACAACAACAACAACAACCACAACAACGGTTACAAGTCTAACAACTCGATTCAGTCCAGAGCAGCGCTTGGAAAAGAACAGTGTGTGCAAAGATCAAATCAATCGCCGTCATCAACGTGTATAGAAGCTAGAAATACAAAACAAAAAAAGAACGGAGAAAGAAAGAAACAAACAAAAAAGCATAACGTATTTTACCAACAACAAATTATCCCCCTCCGAAAAAAGTACAACTTGTACGGAGCAGAGAGCCCAAAAATAAACTCAAAGTTTACCTTGATTTCTTTTCTTCTTTGATATTTTCCGGTTTCTAAAGGTGGTGCAGAAGCAAACGCGAACGTTCTGTTTTTTTTTCTTCTTCTTTTTTACGCGCGATCACCTGGAATTTTTCGTCTAACAAATTGTATTGTTGACTACGACAACAAAAAATCGAAAAATTACAAAGAAAAAATAAAGTGTGTGCGTGTGTTCGTAAACCTTTCTACTCCGACAATTTCTGCAACCTCATCACCGAACATCTGAAAAGGATTTCTGCCTTGTCTTCAAGAAATAAGGGAGAGTCAAATAACTGCTGCCGCTACCTAATATTGGAGTAGAGCTTTTCTTTTCTTTTTTTTGGCGGTTCCACAGAAAATCATTCACGCTGGATTTGGGATATTACGAAGCTGTTAAAGGTAAGTTGAGTATTGAATTTTCTCTTTACATTCTGAAATGGATCGGGGGTAATTTTCATTTAGCCTGGGAAAGTTGGAAATGAGGGGATTGTTTGTTGCACTGGAATTACAGAAAAAGATGTGGAAAAATTTAAAAGAATTAAAAACTGAACTGTGTTTAGAAGAAATCAAAATTGGACAGTTCTATAAAATAAACCAGACCAAGCAAGCTATCCTCAAATTCGGTAAAATGTGAAATTATTTCAGTTTGTCGGGATATTCCTATACTGAATATTTTTTAAAAGATGATAAAAAAAACCCACAGTTAGCTTGAATTACCAAATTACAGAAGTTACCAATCTATTTTCTATTCCCATCGGGGAAACCACCACAAGCAACTCTCAAGCGAGTAAGTGGAGTAAGTTTTCATAAATGGCGCCCAACGTGCGCCTATATATTAAATGTAAAACTGACTTTTCTCGAGCAAGAACCCTTTTTATACACTCTATCATACATAGATCAAGATAACTAAAATTGTACTCAACCAACACAGTAAATTTAAAAAGTGGCGCCCAACGTGGGACTGGGTTAGACTTTTCTCCCCCAATAAAGTACAATTTAAAATTAGCGCCCAATGGGTGGCGTTTTAGACTTTCCTGGAACATGAGTCGTATTATACATAGATCATGATGACTTACATTTGACTCAGCCAATGCGATAAGCTTCAAGAGCACATGAAGAAGACAATTTTAAAAAAATGGCGCCCAACGAGGGGCCTTGTCAGTTTTTTTTTTCGAAAAAGAACCCACTGCACATTTTATGGAGGAAATATCGTCGTTGTTAGTCCGTTAGCAACTCATGTAAATAAACTACAAGTGCCCAATAGAGTAAATTTAAAAAGTGGCGCCCAACGTGTGACTTGTTAAACTTTTTGTAAACCTTTTTATATCCTCTAACAAACAAGATCAATAAAACTTTACTCAGCCAACGCAATTTGCTTTACAGTCGTCCGTTTGCAAATTAAGTGTCAAAAGTGGCACCCAACGTGAGTGGCTTGTTAGACTTTCCTCGATAAAGAACACTGTTTACACCGTGATACATCTTAGCATTGCTATTCCGTTTATAAGTCATCGAAACAATCATTTATGACCCTATAGAGGTAAAAAGGTGATTTCTTAAGAGTTATGGGAAAGTTAAAAAACATTGAATTGATGTACGGTCCATATTGACCGGGCATATACTTTCCAGCAATTCGACTGGTATCTCACGAATAAATACGTCAATGTTGTCTTCCAATGCGTCAATTGAAGCAGGCTCGTCTGTATAGACATGAGCTTTAACAAAGCACCACAAAATATAGTCTCAAGGCGTTAAATCGCACAATTTCGGCCGCCAATTGACCGACAGCCCCGAACGTGAAATTAAATTTTCACCGACCTTGCCTTTCACTAAGTCTATAGTTACGCTTCAATGATATGAAAGCGTTTTTCGTTTGTATGATCATGGTTAAATTATAGGCCAAGTTGACAATGTTTGACAGTGAAGCAAAACACGGAACATGCGTGAGATGTTTAAAAATATTCCAAAATAATATTAGCAAAAAATCGACCTTTATATTTTTGCTCAGGCAAAATTTTCGTCCTTGGTAGTCAATCAAACTATGAAGCGGATCGACCAAAATGAATTAAATTTATTTCAAACAACGAAATAAAGTACAAGCTCCTGCCAATGAAGTAAATTTTAAAAGTGGCGCCCAACGTAGGGCTATGATAGACTTTTCTCGAACAAGAACTCTTTCCATCCGCCATATTACATCTTATCTTTGTTATTCTACTTATAATTAATCAAAATTCATACTACAGGATCAGCCAATGTATGGTAGAGGGATGTAGTTTGAGAAAAGTAAACATAGTTGTTAGGAAGTATTACCTTTGCTATGCCATTATTATTCATCGACCGTAAAAAACGTAAATTCAAAATGTGACGCCCAACGTGGGTGACTTGTTACATTTTTCTCGAACAAGTTTCCTTTGTATAGCCTCCACCATACATAGACCAAGATGACTAAAATTTAACACGGTAAATTTAAAAAGTGGCTCCCAACGTGTTAGGCTTTTCTCAAACTAGAACTCTTTACATACCATAACACCGCACATAGTATGGAGGATATATTACCTTTGTTTAAAAATTGGCGCCCAACTTGGTGTGGAGAATATATTACCTTTTTTTTAAGTGGCGCCTAACGTGGGGCTATATTCGACTTTTTTCGAACAGGCACTGAGGTAGACTTTTCGCTAACAATAACGCCATACCATACCATAACATACCATACCACCATACATAGCATGGAGGATATATTACCTTTGTAAAAAACGTTGCGCCTAACGTGGGACTATACTACACCATTTTTCGAACAAGAACTCTTTTTATACCTTCCACAATACAAAGTCGGTAACCCAATGAAATAATTATTTAAGATCCGACTAAGCATATATATATATACTTGGACGGCGTAAAATGTGACCGCCCAATTTCCGATTTATATAAATATTTTTATCATATTTTCCATCTGAATTAGCTATCTTTATCTATTTTGGGTTCCCATTCGAAATTAAACCACTTTTTTTTGTTATGGTACACCAGTCTCAATCGACTTCAGGAACTTCTATATATAACTTTGAACTTCGATACAATTTGAAGCACAACTAAACAACATCAATCTTCTCAAAAAAAAAAAAAAATTAAATGAAATTAAATCGGTTCGGTTTTTAATATATAATATCGGTTCCGGCAGATTTTAGTAAATTTTAAAAATATTTCGAGGGTTTGCAGACATGTTATTGTCATATCCAGCTAAAGATCTCATTACAAAATAATGAATATTTTAAGGACATTTCGCAACAGTAACTTCTTACAAAACACCATCCTAACCCCTTATCATAAGATGAACATGTCATAGGCATTCGGAAATATTTTCGATTTAACGCCAGCTTTCCTTGTTAAGAAGTTACATGTTTTCCATGCAGATGATTGTGTATACTTTTTGTCTAGAGTTGAAAATGTTCGATAATATAAATCATAAAAATCGTCACCTCCGCCATTTATGCCGCGCAAACATACACAACAATATATTATAATTCCCCTACATGGAATAAAAAAATGCCGCCCATATTAAGACCTTGAATGTTAAGACATCACCATTTATTTGAGCCATATAAACAAACTTTTATTGATTATAATCCTGGAATTAATTAAATTAGGATCCATCCATAAAAATGCCACACCACTCGGCATAAATATGCCCTCAGGCCAATTTAAAAACGACAACATCAACCTCCCACACGCACACATGCGCGCCGTCTAGGCTGCTGCTATCCCCATCATCATCCAAAGGCAACCATAACTGAGGCTATGCCTGCGATCCCCGCAAAAAAAAAATAGTTTCAAGTTTCGCTTGAACAGATGAGGAAGTAAAAGAGTTCGACCACAACGACGACGCAGAAGTTGAAGCATTGATGATGTTGAAAACCAACACCCAGGGCAGAGCATTTAGAATCTAGGCAGCTCGCACACATTTGCACTCACCAGTATGGGCATCATCGTTGCTAGAAATATAAACACCATAAATTTCCGAGTTTACTCAAAGAGTTGCAAAGTTTATGGCGCAGGGTATTCAAAAGAAAAAACGACGACAATGATGATGAAGACTCGAGCAAAACAGAAAAATTGAAAAATGAAACATAAACAATATGACCCGACAGATTTTATTGATTTACAGTGGGCAGGATATGTTAAAAAACGTTGGGTTGGCATTACTCCCCTAAGAAAATACTCATCACATATCTGGTTACTCATCCATTATTTTAGCAAGAGCATGTCATACGAAATAGAAAATTATTTTTGAGCCCCAAAAAAGTTCCGAGGAAAATGTGGCTAAAATCATCCAAATACTGTCGGTAAAACCGACTGCTTGTCTTTAGCTTGTTTTCTACCCATTTAGGGAAATTAGGAGTGTTCCTGCTCGAATTCGAGTAGAGAGTTAAACTCGCTCACTTTGTGGCAGCATTCCCAAAATTCCAATAACAGAGAGTGAAATTAGAGAGCTATTTTGTCAGTTTTCTTACTGAGAGTCTGCTAATTCTCACTAGGGAACTTTGCTCAGTAAAATTAACCGGAATCATCAGAAGTTGATTTATATTTTGGTCATCGCGAAGTACTTTAAATTTCTCTCTCTCTCTCTCTCTCTCTCTCTCTCTCTCTCCCTCTCTTGTGATCTTCTGATTGCACAAGTCTGAAGTCAAACACGTCAGATTCCACAGGGTGAGATAAATAAAAACTGCAACAAAGTCAAACGCCATAATTTTTACATTTTTTCATATTTATTTAATGAAAGCAAAAAATGTCGGAAATAGCATCAAATTTTAGAATAGGAACGAATTTTGAATTTAGACACGAATTATGGCCTTGAAACGCCAATGAAAGCTTCACACGCTGCCCGAATGTTGCTCTGCGGTATTTTGCCCCATTCCCGGCGAAGCGCTTGCTTGAGATGGTTCAAAATACTCCAAACACAAACGGATTGGTATCCGAAGATTTTGGTGACCATTGTGCGCTGGAAATGAAGCGGGGAACCTTATTTTGTAACCATTTTTGGGTGGCGCGTGCTGAGTGCGATGCTGCTGAGTCCAGTTGGAATATCCAAGGTCTGCGGCCAAAATGTTTGCGCGCCCAAGGCTTTAATACACCCTCCTGAATATTTTCGCGATAGTATTCGGCATTTATTCTGATGCCACGGTCGAATAATTCAAGCGAAAAGCGACCATCGACTGTTATGGCGGCCCACACCATCACCATGACCGGCGCTTGAGTTCAGGTGGCCAACCGAAGGTGCACATTTTCAGCTGACCTCTTTGATAAGAGAACACGATCATTTTGTTTGTTTACAAACTGCCAGACAACGAATGTTTTCTCATCGAATAAAACCGGTAGTTCGGCAGTTCACCACTTTCGATCAAGCGAAG